TATAATCATATCATAATGATCGTGAAAAATGCCATATAAGTATGGAATGAATCATGGCACTTTGTACCAGTATTTTGTACTTTTGTCTTTGTGCTCAAGTCACAATCGAATTCCATTCTTTACGAAAAAAAAAAGATTCGTTCACTTCTTCATAAAAGGATAAACGGTTAATGCTATTCAATATTTACATCAAGCATTATCTTCATTTTCATTCATTGGAAAATATTACTTGATGAAAAATTGAACTCAATGCAACTTGAATAAAGAAACAACAATACAAAAAAACAGACGATATCATTATATACAGTAGTTGCAGAAAGTTTTGCTACTGAGTAAAAAATTAAGTGAAACTCAATCCTTTTGCCTGCTATTTTAATAAGAAATAGAGCTTGATAAGCCTAGATTACAAGCAGCGACTCCATATTGATAGATCTAAATATAAAAGATTTACAACGAAAACACAGATTTTTGCCCTAGGACATAAAAAGGTTTTTTTTGAGACATTTCTCGTTTTCCACTATTGAAGTTTATTAACTTCCATTTTCTTACTAACAAATAAACATTTCAATGTCTCGATTGTATCGCACATAAGGTGCTTAGATCCACTATAATTTAGAGGCGCGGAAAGCCTCCCTTGAACGGGGCAACCTCAACATGGATCTCTTCTCTAACATTGGCTGCGATCATTAAAATTTTTCGTAGAAAATTTGATTAGAGCAGGGCACTCATTGAAAAAAATATCAAAGAAAATGGTAAAAGTTAGCTGGAGATATCGGTTACTTTTTGACGGTTCTCATCAACACTTATGTGAAGACTACTCAAATATTACTTCATAAATCAGGCACACTAAAACCATTCGACATGGAATTTTTTTCTGATAGGGCCATCACTGAGCTGTTGAATAAGGAGTCTAATGTGATGAGATTTGTATTCATATATTGAGATATCTTTCTTTGGAGAAAAACTTTATGTTGGTCTTTTAGCTCCTCTGCATCAAAACCAATCAAATTCTTGCGATCAGAGTTCAACATATTCTATTTATGATCAAACTATCGGAATAAAAGACAAAACTTTGGGTATGTTTTACCTGGTAGTAGGATCTTTTGGTACTACTATGTAGAGTACATTCGTCATACTATCGTAGATGAAGATGTAAGCCGACACATTGAGCTGCAGATAAAAATTTTCTACGAGTTTTTGTAAAAGATTTCTTGATTTTAAGAGGTTTTAGAGTAAAAAATAAAGAAAGCGATACTAGAGAACTTATTGACAAGAAATTGAACGGTAACAACTCCACAAAAATTATTAAAGACGCCGAAATTATCCCTAATGGATTAATCTTCTAGTACATACAAGCGATTATTTATTTCAATAAATGCGGATTATTGAATCTTATAAATAGTGAATATAGTATGGATTATGAAATGATATTTTTAATTATATGATAGTATAATCAAGTATTATATATATACCTCAATGAAAATAAAAAATGATGAAAGGAATAAATAGAAATAATATCTTCCCGTTTAAATAATTCTCTATGTCAGGCTCTTTTTACTGCTTCTGTCTTGTTTACTATGTAAGATTAAATAAGTGATTGAATATAACCTCATTATTTAAAACCATCAAAACTAAAAACACTATAAAATGGATACAATAACAAAAACCTGTTTAATCAACATATAACTACATATCAGAAATCTTCATAATTGAGATATTTGAAAATGAATCAGCTACTCGTAAAAATAAGTTATTATTTTCATCGAAGTTAATAATACTCAACCTGATTTTACTTCATACAATATAGTACTTCGGAGCAATACCAATCAGTTTTGTAAGGTTTACAATGCTGTGACAAGAGAATAAAAAAAAACCATACCATAACTTTTTTCTCCTAGCTGATTCTATCGAAAAAAAGAAGAGAACGACGAAGTAAATGTCTATAACGGTTATTGACTATTAATTGATGCATGACAATTGATTTTAACATAATCAATATTTTTCAGTCACACTGTTATGTGTAATACTTTGTCTATAACTATCAACGATGTATAGACCTTGGCAGTATACATTAAAATATGCGTTGTTTTCTGGAAGAATACATTCCAGTTCAATATGATTGTTTTCTTCAATTTGTTATATATGAAAGTGATCGAAAAGATACATACACAGATTTCTAATAAATCAAATACAGCATTTAAAGACAAATTTTATAAACCGAACAAAAAAATTACATGAGTATAAAGTATTATTTGTTTACTATATTATTCACGATATCGTGAAATTAAAATGCAATGGACAACATTTTTGTACGAGTAAAATCAAAGGCATAATTTATGATGTACAGTTAAATATATTAAATGTTTTATTTCTAACAAAAAGATTTTAATGTAGACAAGCTATTTGATTCTTGAATATTTTATCAACTGATGAAAATAGTTTAAATATCAGGACAATATTAGCTACGGCTGAAAGTTTTATGTTTATTCTTTTTTCACATGTCAACTGCAAGACACAATTAGTTTTATAAAGATTTCTATAAAAAACTTGAATACAAGTATATTAGCCTGAGAAGAATGTTTATATTATTGTTGAGGTCTTGACATCAAAAAAAAATTCTACTTTTCCTCGATACACATGTTTTATGTATAAAAGTGATAAGGCAAGAAAGAAAAAGCCATCAAGTGTGTCTGTCATACAATACGGGAAAAATCATACATATAGACATTGATTACAAGGTTAATAAAAGAAAAAGACATGCGGATGAAGATGTTACATTTCCTTAGTCTTTTTGTTTATTTCTGTCTTAATACATAAATCAAAAATATTTTTCGATGACTCTGTGATAAAAAACAATCTAAAAGGATTGTTGATGGGTAGAAATAAAAATTTAGAATTCTCTCTTTCATAGATCGTGATAGACGCTATTCAGAAATAGGATTCGCTGGTTCCGGAAACTTAGCATCAAATCAGAATCGTTAAACCTATGTCGAGAAATCTTTATTTTTTTATTCTTGAGATTAAAGATCTCAGTGTACATGTATAATATTGTTTCGTTTAAGTACTGAAATATGTGGTGTCTTTGATCTCAATAATTCAATAGTAAAAATTTTTCAAATTGTATTTCAAATTTTCGCATCCATCTGATATTGAACGGTTTCGTTCTCAGTTCAGAGTAATTTTTGGAACCGCTAAACACTAGCCAAGGATTATCACAGATCATGGCAGATGTTGTTGATATGTGATCATAGATCGTTTATCAATAACTTCTCGTCTTAATCGATGAACTATTTCATTATTGCATTTCTGGAAGATTAAGTAAGATATGGTGAAGAAATGTGTTCCCAAAATAGATAGAATGTAACGATCTCTCTTTGATTACCTCAGCAACTATACATCGGGTTTCATATACTGATCTCGCAGGGATGGTGCTAATAGCTTTCTGTCAACTAATCAGTGCCTATGAGATATAGCTTTATAGGTAAATATATTGTACAGAATTTCTCTACTTGTTTCACCGAATGCTCTTGTAGAAACCAGTATAGTGAAACAATACGATAATAGCAAAAAAAATACAAACGCTGTTAGCATAATATAAATCATCAACATCATGTTATAGACAATAACTATCTCTATTCAGAACGGCGCCTACCAAGACATCGATCGGCATAATGATTAAGATGTTATTTCAGACTGTAGTCGGTCATTTACTATATCTTCTTACCTGGAAAAGAATTGTTTTTCAAACTTGATAGGTATTAAGAAATAAAGATTCTACAGTTCAAGATACAATGTAACATTCTTGTATATATTCTTATTAAGAACTTACCTAATATTGATATCTACATAATGTATTTCATTGGAAAGCATATCAAACAAAATAAAAAGCTACAATGTTTTGTAAAAAGTTAAGAAATGGTTTATAATGTAATGCATCCCAAGAAATGTATTAAGATTCTTGTTGTACTAACGAGAGAAATCTCCCAACTGATCAATTGAGTTTTGATTCGGGGCTATGTGTATCACTTATATTCGCATAAATGCAATAGCTCAGCAGCAATAAGTCAAGGGCCCGAACTCTTGTTAGGATATTCATGATTCATTTGGGTCTATATGAAGTACATAATTCCGGCTTAAAAACGACGAATCAATTGATGGACTTCTCTCATAAGCAGTGAGAGTTTCAGTATATTATTGAGCTTTAAAAGCTGTTTTCTTGTTCATCTGAATATATTGGAGTTACTCGACTGTTGCAATTGGAAGAAAAAAAAATGAATGAAGTCATGGTGTCTTTCTATTAAGTTAATAAATATTATCGTTATTTATATAATCAAGTATGAAATGTACCATCTATATAAATTATTTTATATTTATAAAATTTATTTTTTTTATCACAGAAACCAAATTCCAGATACTGAACATCTTTTTACATGACATAGAACAATACTCTCATGAAAATGCATATGTTTCGAACTACATAGCTGAAATATATAGCCAATATTTTATCGATCTGTCCTTGACGCCAATATCTTAATCATTCACCACACAAAGCTAAGTTTATCATTATGTATATAAATCTTACTCTCAACTGAAGTATGCTCAAATGATAATAGGCTTGAAATAAGTATTTGATGATGCAGACTTTCTAAAAAGAAAGAGATTATATATATATATATATATATATATATATATATATTCGAAGCCATGATCTGCATATTATTGCAATTTATCCTGCTATTATGTTCTGCTATTTGGTCACGTTTGTTTTTATTTTCTACTTACCTATAGCAACATTGGCCATTGAATGTTTAGACTGCTATCAAGACTTCCAGTTTAATTCACCAGAAGTATTAAATACGACAAGACCAGACTGTAATAGAAAAAATGGACCAGGTTCAATGTGTGCAGCAACATTATTTATTTATTTTGAAAACGAAAATGCTACTGCAGTTTTTACTCATCTTCCCGAACAAGTACTGATTTTATCAAATAAAAATAGGATGGTCATAAATGGTACAATGATTTGGTTTAGCAAGAAAAAAGTTTTCCATTCACTTCAATCAATCTGTACTGATAGTACAGCTTGTGAAGAAGATGTAAACACAACTTATAACAGAAGTAAGTTTGATAAATATAAATATGAATCTTAATTACATGTACACAATAAAATTAAATGTACTTTTAAATGATGATTTTGTTATTTTTCTTTCTAGTGAAAAATTTAAAATATGATGAAATTCAAACAAAACTAAGTAATCTTTTACATTCTAATCAATCATTTGTTGCCAACCTTACGTGTTCTAACAATAATGATCAAAGTATTCAATGTCCCAATGGTTATTGTCAATTGACGCGTAAAGGTACATCCAATATTGATCGACAATGTGTTCCTCAGAGTAGTAATATCAATCCATCAGGCATAATGATTCAATCAAATACTGTGGAGGAACCAGATGCTGAAGCTTCTTTAACTTACGCATGTACCAAACCAATGTGTAATGGTATAAGAACAGATGAACAAGTACAAAACTTGTTGGTGCAATATGGACTGTTACCAGTATTAAATACAATACCAGTTGTACAAGAAACAACTACAACAACTACAACAACTACAACAACTACAACAACAATACACACTTCATCACAACCGAATGCAGCAATGACAACATTACATCAACCAATGATGAATTTTCAATGGATGCTGCTTTTGATAATAACAATTCTTTTAAAAATATAATTCATATTTCTATTGTGAATTGTTTTTAAATTAACACAATAGAAATTTTTCAAATAAATAAAAAACTTAATTTAAAATTTGACTTTTTATTCTTTCAATAATAAAATGTCTTATAAGAAAAATTAATAAAAAAACAAACGCTTTTTTCGATCAACAAAAAAGGAGAAAAACAGCATGTTTCGATGTTTAAACACCAATCAGATATTGTAATGATTAATATGAGCAGTTAACATATAACTAGTGATGAGCGGGACTAATCGTTTTTGGTTCTGGCGTTGGTCTCGTACTTAGTAAAATCTGTACTAGCGAAAAATGCTATATCATTGTCTAGCCGTATTCACAAGTTCAAGACATCTTCTCTGTCGAAGACACATCGATTTGGTCGATTTCGCTACTAATTCACCTATTCTGCACGTCTATGTATTCGACAATTCTATTATTTTTCAAACAAAAAAATGATGAATTTTACTATCAAAATTGTAACAGCAACTATTGAAGTGATCGTTACTCAATAATTTTCGCATAAGCTTTTAGAATACATGAGTTGCGACAATATAACATTGTACACGTCCATAAGGGATACCAATCCCAATGAAAAAGTGTTGATCCTAGTCCCTGTTTAAATAACAATTTAATCGGAATCCCGTCGGAACTGGTACTATCTTGTTCATATCTGCCATAGAACTTTTGAAATACGAAACATTCTGTTAGTCTTTTTTAACGTATTCAAATAAGTTTTATTACGCATTTTGATGTTGATTTACTTAAGTAATCATTAACCATAGCAATATTCTAATAAAGATTCGTCAATAAATTCAGTTGAGAACAAGAAAAAAAAAGATTTTTTTTCTTCATCGAAAAACTTTTGAAATTTTTTTTGCCTACGAAATATCGACGAAAAAAATATTATGATCTACTCACGCGGAAGACAATTTAAATTTCTAGCTTTATTAAAACTCATTGGAACTTATTTTTTATATTAGTAATGTATAATTTTTGATCCTTGGGGCGCTAAAAATGAACGCTTCTAGGGTACCATCGAAGTATGTTTGTGTATAAGTTGGTGAGAAGAGAAAGAATAAGAAAAAACGGTCATGTACAGAAATGTGTGTGCATAAATTAAACCCATTTTTTTTAACTTTAAAAGCTCTTAAGTAAGTAAAACACAAACAGTGTATGTGAATAATAAATAAAAGAATAAAAGAAAAAAAAAGGAAATAAATCTGGGTAAGTTGACTAACGTAAGTGATGTTATTCCTTTGTTATAGAAACTATTAATCTTTTTTCTATGATCATTCTATTTTATGATGAATATAGGTTAGGATGAAATTTGTTGTATTATATCAATGAAGAATTTTTTTGTTTTCTCTTCACTTGATAAAGTTTATAGAGATACAAAGCATGGTATCCTCATTCAATTTCAATCTTTCTTTTTTCAATTATATATTATTACTATACAACAGACTGTTTGTATATAATCAAGAAAGTATGTCAGTTGTTTGAAAGAATTCAAAAGAAAATATACTTCTGTTCTGTCTTTTATTATTCTGTATATTTATAATACATTACAGATTATGAGCAGAAGCCTTCTTCAACCTATCGAATCTGTAATACATTAGAAAAAGAAAATTATGCGAGAAGAAAATAGTAAAAAGAAAAAAAAAGACTCAATTTTGATTAGGAAATGTACCTCTTTTTATTTCATTTTCTTTTTTTGTTTATTAGATTAATATGTTTCGATATGATTACGTTCGTCCAAAAATTTTACACAAACGTTCCAATAGTACAGATAATGATGATAGTGATACCAATAATCGAGACCCAGGTCGAGAAGTTATTGAAAAAAATACTCGAAATCGTTTACAACGTACTGCTACTCAAACAAAAGAAGAATTAAACATAGTACTTAAACGTGTTGATGATGTATGTAATATGATTTCTTTTGTTATTATTGATAAACTATACAAAAAAATTTTTTAGACATTAAATAATTATGAATCTTCAGTTAAATCATCTTTAGTTCAACATGGAATGGCACCTGATGATATGGCAAATATTGAATATGTTGCTGATATAAAAGAATTAGAAAATTTATTAAATGATAGTTTAGCTAAAAAACGAGTAATTTTTCTCAATTCATATATTTTTTCTTATTATTAATTTTAATATTTAGTACCAACAACGTTTAATGATTTTCATTGTTGGACAAACAGAACAATTAGATGAAAAAACAAAACTTCTTCAACAAATTAGCCAAGTCATTTTATATTAGTTAAAATTTCACTTGATTAGTTTTGTTTTTTTTTTCTTCTTATAGTTTTTTAATGAACAAAAACAAACTTTTAGTTCAAAAGAATTTAATATTTCTGATGAAATAAATGAACCACCAAATGATATTGATCAAGCACTCAAATCATTTGATGTTAAAGATTGTTATGTTCATGTTAGAGAATTAGGTACACGATTAACTGAACTTAATGAAGAAATTATTGAATATTTAATTCAAAATGCTGCAGCAAAACAACAAGCAAAGTAAATTAGAATTCTTTATTTTTTTTTTATTATTTAATTAAAATATTTTTTTTATCAAGAGGAAAAAAGAAATCAACTCCAATTCCTAAAGAAATTAAAGAACAATTAACTAATCTTCAAACAAAATTAGACACAGCAAATACAGGTACATATAATATTAAATATGTCCGAATATTAATTTAAATTTTATTGTTTCTAGATATCATAAATAGAGATGAGAAAATTCAATTCTTAGAAAATGAAATCAATACAATACGTAATGAAATACAAACAAATCAAGATAATCAAGTAAGAATAAATCGAATAAATAATAATAATATTTAACAAAATTTTTCTCTAGAAAATATTACATAATCAATTAAATCAATATGAATTAGAAATTAAATCTTATAAAGATCGTATTGATGAATTAGAAAATATTATTGAGGAATATAATTATCAAAGAGATGATTTAACAAAAATCAAATCAACTACTCATCACTTGAATGCAAATGTAAGTTTTTAAAGTTCATAGGAGACTTATTTTTTTAATTATTTGCTTCCCGCATTGTCGCAGTATGCGCCAAACATCTTTCAACTTGTTCTAGACGATTGAAAATTATCATGCTTAAAACCGTTTTTTGCTAGAGAAAAAAAAAACATTTCATAATAAGACTAAAGTGTCATATATATATCGTCATAGGTAGTAGAATAGAAGATTAACTCATCGTCTATTTTTAGTTCTAATGTATAAAGTTTCTCTCTTTATATATATACTGATAGTTGTCTGAATTCTCTTTAACCTTATATAATTGTGCTTTTTTTTTCGTACATGTATATGTTTTTATTTAAAATTTTTCTAAACATGAAAATAAACTTTTACAAAAGTAATTAGCTATTCTAACAGGTCTTGACGTTCTTTATCGCTTTGTATATGGACATCGTGAATTTCCCTTATATTTCGAACATTGTCAATGTATTCACATTTTCACTCTGATTAAGATTTCTCACAAACGACGTCCCTACTTTCGCCCTGAATTTCGCATACTCCTCAACTAATGTCATCACATGTTTCATTATAACCTTCAAAAAAGTTATTGAAACTCATCGTTTGAGTTTTATTTTAAATCCTAGTTCGGGACCAATCCGACATACGCTAGTAAGTTCTTATAGTGAACCGAAGGTGAGCACGGATTGATAATGTTCAAAATATTTCTCAGTAAATAGATGAATATCAATATCTAAGTATTATGGACGATAGAACATTTCAAGAGCTATTCGAATAGTCTAATAATGTTGACGCCACTTCTTTTGAAATTTTCAATTCGTTCAGAATGTTTTACATCTAATAAATATTCAATAAAATTTTTAAAAAAAATAATTTTTTTTCTTAATTAAGGATACTACTGATACAAGAAAAACAAACTGTATGTAACATTAAATTTATTTTATGTTTTTGTTTCATATATTTCTTTTTATAGTACAAAAATTTGAAAAAAAAGATAATAAATCTTCGAAAATAATTGTTTCAAATCAAACAGATAAAGAAGAAGTTCAATTAACAACAGTTGTTGTAAAATTACAAATTATTAATTAAAATAAATTCTTTGCTTTAGGATAAAACACAAGCGTCTGACAGTTCAAATGAAATCACTCATTATAATGAACAGATATCTTCAAATAATATTGAAGAACTCCCAGATCTCAATGTATTATTTAATTTAAACAATGAAATTGATTTGAATGATGTGACAACCGAAAATCTACCAACAACATTTGCCAATCTACGACAACTCGTATGTTTATATGTATGAATAACAAAATCAAATAATTTTATATATATATATAGGCTATTACTCGTATAACAGAGTTATCGAAAGAACTTGAAATAAAGGAATCAATAAATAACGAGAGAATACAAAATTTACAACAAGAATTTGATGAATATAAAATAATCTGTGAAAAAGTAAGAAAATGATTTTGTTTTTCTATATTAGGTTTTTTTCCGATAATTAACTCTAGGAACAAAATACATTGATTGAAAAAGCAAATAATGCTTATCAATTACAACTAAAAGCACAAAAAACATCAGAAGAAGCCTTGAATCAATTACAATTACTCGCCAATGAACAAGGAAAATCGGTATTTGAATTACAATTCACTTTTATTATTATTTTTAAAGAAAACTATTTATTTATAGAAAATTAGTTCAATTCATCAAGAGACACAAAAAGTAAGCAAAATTTCATTTTGTTCAAAATTCTTTTAACTTTCAGCGGAAGATTCTGCTGAACAGCTTACCAATACAGTTGCCTTTTGACTAAAATATGAAACTTATATGTCTTCTTTACTTTCATTTCGATATACGAAAATATGTAAAGTAAACTGTTAGCACAATCTCTGCGAGGTTGAAGTGTAAAAACATACAATGTATCTCCTGTTTCTAACCACTGGAAGATTGTTTCATTTCATCTATTTTGGAATACATT